ATCATATTAACGACACTGTCGAAGTCATGGTCCAAGTAAAGCATTGCCATGTCTTTATCAAGGCTTAACTGCACAATATATGACAGCAATTCTGTTGGCAGGAAAGTTTCTTGTAAACTCTCTTATGGATGTGTATTTATAACCTGTCATATCGGAAAATTCTAAAAAATGAATGTAAATTGAGCTGATTTTGCCTTTAATTTTCTCAAAAACTGTACAGTAATATTTTAAGACAATAATCATGTACATAGTGAGGGTTGTCATAAACAACAATCAAGTGAAATATTGACATAAGTCAATATTTCAATGGTTATAACCTCTTAAGGATTATGTTTTATAAAATGTCAAATATTGGGAAATTATAAATATCAAAATGTAATTTGAGCTGACTTTGCCTTTAATTTTCTCAAAGATTGTACAGTAAAATTACATTATATTGGACATGGAAATATATGGGGTCATCATGAACAGAACTCCAACGGAAATTTTAGCTAACCATTGAAGGAAATGTATTTTTTTACAGATCAAAGATTATTATTAGGCAATATTATAATTTTCGAACCCTTTTTCAATTAAAGATTATACAGCAGTGTAATTTCAGATTTTTTTATTGTTGGATTTCATATAATGTACAAAATGACGTTGTTTTTTTAACAAATTGGGCAAATTATTGATGAAATATAGGTCTATTTCCGGGCTTTTTGGGCTATCCAAGCACCCGTACCGTAGCACCACGAATAGACGAGCATTACATTTCAAGTGCCGGCTGACGTAACCGAGGTTCCGCGGATGACGGACCACATGACCGCAGTCCGTGTTCCGGTTCAGTTCACGCGGTCACTCATTAACGTTAAACCGGAACACCAGCGCATCTGGTTGCAGGTTGTTGTTTTTTTAACTCAAAGTAGAATGAGGATGATTTCGTGGTCAGAATAACTTTCATGACCACGAAACATGAGGCCCAGATACTGATGAGATGATGAGATGATGAGGTCAGAGAGCTTCAGGGAGAGGAGGCTGTCTGTAGCGCAGCTTGATGCAGGGCTGAGTTGTGAGTGGAGCTGGACCTGGATAAAGGTGGAGGTCTAAACAGACGTGAGTACAGCTTCCTGCTGTCACAGTATTTTAAATACATTGATAAGGCAGGGTATGCTAAATGCAGCCTCTGCTCCAAGGAGATGAACTACAGCAACAAGGGCTCACATGCCCTCTCATCACACTGTTCACACTGTTCACTGTGATGACCACAGCCAGTGTACTAACAGTCCCAACAGTCCCACGTTGCTCCCAAGAACCCTGAAGTAATGAGAGGGTTAAGGAGCCTGTACCTTCATTTCAGCAGGTTGCTAATGCAGAGGTGTGTATAGATCACAGATATTATTTTACTCTTGATAAACTACTTTAGCCAGAGTAGATTATCATTTTTATTTAAATAATTGAACTGGGTTGAATGCATATTAATTGCAAATAGAAGATAGGCCACAATTCTAACAGCTTTACAGTAACAGAGGAAGTTACAGTTTTTCTCGATTGCTAAGACACATTTCTTGAAACGGTCACCCATTTTCTCAAAACTGTAAACACAAAACCTCATCTTCAAGCACTATTTACAAAACCTCTGAATCCTCTTGCAAAATGAAACTTTCGCCTCAAAACAGTTTTACCTGTGCTCAAAATCAAACACTGCTCTCAAATCATAAACAAAGTGATCAAAATAATATACACTATCAAGCAGTCAGTAAACAATACACCAATAAATAGAAAACACATTGTTCAAAACATATAGTTCTCAGGGAGAAGAAGATTTTTAATCTCAAAACAAATTTCATATGAACGAAAACATGTTCTATTACAGTAGCTCAAAATTGATCAGAAATTACTACTGTGCTTTGCTCTTTGAAATTTATTTTGTTCTTCCTCCTCCTTGTACCCCTATTTTTACAGTACTGTACCCTGCATCTCACAAACGTGTCCTTTGTCTCTGTGATACTATAATTCTTGTTCTTTGTTGATATGAAACTGCAACCAGTCAAAATCTATTGAGCAGTCAGTACTGTTACTGTAACAAATAGAAAGCACGATGTTCAAGGCCATACAATTTGTTTATTGTACATTATACAGCCTACAATGCACTGTAGGCCTACTACAGTATACAATACTACAGTAAAAGGGACAAAAATCAAAGGAGTCAACATGTCATCAATGTGCTTCTTCTTGTCTTTGGGCTGGGTCAGGCCAGAGCACTTCGTCGACATCACAAGCAATATTTTCTCTCCTGAGGCAACGGGGGAAGAAGCCTCTTGTGTGCCGTATCCAGCCCTGACATGATTCCTCACCTATATCACCACAGGCTAATTCCATGGCTTGCAGCAGATTTACTCTGGTGTAGGTTTGTCTATCATACACTTTCCATCTCCATGAGGAGAAAAACTCCTCAATCGCATTCAGGAAAGGCGAGTATGGAGGGAGGTACAAGGTCATAAACTGACCATTGATGTTAAACCATTCCCTTACCTGAGCAGCTCGGTGGAAACTGACATTGTCCAGCACTATCACATTGGTGGGAATGGGATTCTCATTTAGCTCTTGACCCTGCTGCTCCAATAAAATATCTCTTAGATTGGCCAGAAATCTTAGAAGATGCTGGGTGTTATATGGCCCGAGTGTAACATGGTGATGTAGAACACCATGGTTGCTGATAGCAGCACAGATTGTGACATTGCCACCTCATTGACCAGGGACTTCAACAATTGCCCGCTGTCCAATCACGTTTCGGCCTCTCCTTCTCCTCTTTGTTAGATTGAAGCCTTCTTCATCGACAAAGATTAACTCATGGGGTCTGTCCAAGGATTCCAAGTCAAATATTGTCTGTGTAGGAATACAATATAATGTATGTAGAATTTAGTAAGTTGTACAGAGACAGTGCTATATTGTAGAGTTCAATTAGGCCTACTGTATGCACTTCTGATTCACATACATTGTATGTACTGAAGAGTAATGTCATGTACTGTGTATGTGTATGTGGCAGTACTGTAGACAATCTGGATTACAGTAAATGTGTCTGAATGTACACTTACTTGCACATACTGAGCTCGCAGTTCTTTCACCCTTGGTGAGTTGCGCTCAAAAGGTACTCTGTATACTTGTTTCATTCGTATCCTGTTACGATGGAGGACACGGTCAATTGTGGAAATGCTCACACTGTCGATTCCCTGGAAGTGTGTGTTGTCTTGTATCACTCGTTCCTGGATTTCTCTGAGTCGTATTAAATTATCTTGAAGGACCATGCCCACTATAACGGTCTCTTGCTCCTGAGTGAATATAGCTCTCCTTCCACCTGCATGTGGCAGCCTTGCAGTTCTACAAAAAGTAGATGTGCAGTTACAAAATTTTTTTAATGCAGTACAATACATACAGTGATGAACTTTACAAATGTCTATTGAAACAGCTGCATATAGTGTAGTACAGTAAATTTGCAATTACAAAAATACAGTAGCATACTGTACCTTGTGAGGCTCCATAGAGACTTGCAGGATAACCACCGCTTCACCCGGCTTTATCTTAAATAAAGGTGATAGAAGTACCAAAAAAGCTCAAACTGGTAGAATAGATACCCGCACACTTAAATCTATGCAGAAACACTTGAGAAATGTAGTAAAGTACAATATTTGAGATGGAAATACGAGTACAAGTGAAATTACAGATTTTTTAAAATACTCAACAATACAACTTTGTTAACCAGAGTAAATGTAATTAGTCACTTCCACCTCTGGCATTCGGTTACATAACTAGTTTTCGCCTATAATTCAATGCCACTACCTGCTTTTACAGCACAAAGCAAATCTCACTGCATGTTTAAACATATAATGTAACTGACGATGCTACCTAATGGAGGGTTTTATGAGAATGCATCTGCTTTTTTTCCTTTTCTAGGATGTATTAAAGGTGTATTGAATAGCTTAAGGATGTGTGTGTGTGTTGTAGCGATATGATAAAAACATATACGTGTCCTGCAGTCGGTAATGTCTGCATAGTATTTCCATTCATTCACCTCCCCGCCTGCTTGTTTTATGTGTGTCCTCTCTTTACACCTGCATCCATTCATTTGCCCATTTAACAAGGACAACATTGATTGAGAGAGGTGGTGAGAGGGCCGATTCGATTTCAGGGGACAGGATTGGATTTGATGGCGGGGCATAATAGCTTTCATGGGATTTTTACGGCACTGAATAGTTTAGCTGGGGCTGCCTTGATGGGACCGAGGTATAATTCTAAGAAAGGATCCCGGGGATGGCAGGAGCACAAACATCCTGTTACTTATTTACCCAGCCCGCAGAGCTCTCTGTGAGGAAGCAAGCACATGTGAGGTCGAGACTTACCTTCAAACTAGAAAATAAAATTCCCTTGTAAATCAAGCTCTCACAATCTGAGATTGGCATTTTTCAATATGCGCTCAGATCTATGAGCTGCCACGACGAACAATAGTCGTGAACTGGCCTCGCCAACCTGAAAAGAGAGGGGCATGACCTGCTGTGAATTCTTGTTAAAGACACGGTGGCACTGTGGCACGTTGGCGGTGGCACAAAGGCTGTATATGTGTGGAATAAAATCCAGGCCTTGTGGCAGAGTTGAGATGTATTCAAACTCCACTGGCACACTTTGGGTAATCAGTCCCTCCTAATTCCTCTCCACTTGGTCCGCTCTGGTTTCATTCATCTGTAAATTGCTCTGAGGAGAACAGTTTTGCTACAGTGGGGGACGAATTGTATTCTCTGTATACTGTTCCTTTCTATAATATGTTAGCTTTTGAATTCAACCATTTTCCACTGAGCGATCGTTCTAAAATGGCAAGCAGTTGCTGTTTTATTGTTGTTTGTAAGACAAAATGGAGTTGAAAGTGTTTTCTAACTGAAATTAATTTGGCTTGCTATTGTTCACTTCAATATTGTTCTTCTAAAAGAGATGTGGGATGATGGAGTAACCAAGGTGTTGGTTTGCAGGTGCCACGGGGGATGCTCAGCCTGACACCCTACCCTCGGTGCAGGGCACCTTGCCACACTTCATCCAGGAACCGGAGGACGCCTACATCGTCAAGAGCAACCCCATTAAGCTGCGGTGTCGAGCCGCGCCTGCCTTACAGATCTTTTTCAAGTGCAACGGGGAATGGGTGCACCAGAATGAGCACTTTTCCCAGGAGTATAAGGACCTCAACACTGGTAAGATAAAGCCGGCCTTCTTCCAGCCAATGCTAACATCTAATATGAAGAAAAGGGTGTGCAGGCATCTGAAGATTTGGTATGATTCTTAATAGAGGGGTCAGAGCTATTTCAAATGAACAAAATTTTCCACAAAGTACAGAAACAATACTCGGAAACTGATGCATTCAATGCATTTTCCTCCGCTGCAGGTCAGAAATGTTAAGATGACCACCAGAGGATCAAACCATTCTGTTTTGTTGGCAATGTGTTTCTTTCCTCTCCAAAGATTTTAAGACTTTTAAGAAGACTAGTGTATGTAGTTGCAAAAAGTTACAAAATGTGTATGAAACAAACTCTTATTCTTATTTTATCTATTGAACAAAACAACCACCTTGCTTTTCAAGCAGATCCCTATCTAAACAATAAAAAAGTGTGTGAGATTATGCCCTTCAGACATAACCCGGTCTCACTCCCAACGCATTATGTACCGGGCTGCGGGAGTAAACCCATCCACATCAGTATTAGTGGGTCAGAGCAGCTGACGTGGTTAAAATAACAAGGAAGTCTGCATGGGTTAAACTAACATAGTACTTTCACCCAGTAAACCGCTGTTTATTGTCCTTTGTGAAACCAAGTCAAGGTTTTATTTTGTACAACACTAAGCATCTAACGAGAAAAAAGTGACACGGCGTCCCTCACATGTCCAAAACTGACGCTAGAGGGGTATGTCGACCGGATAGTTTGAAGCTAAGTGACACTGACCAAGAGGCGGTATTTGACGAGTTGGGAGTGGGAATGTGTTGCCAGAAGAGGAAATGTCTAAACTTGGTTGGACTGAATAATAAGAGGGCACGGCGTTCTTATGGGTTTCAGAACTAGTGAAAAACCCTGTTTTATTTATAATTAATACATTTTTTTATGGAAAAATATTTGCAGTATTGTCTGTATCTAATTTAAATTCCTCACTTGAATCCATTGAAGAAACTGATTTTTATTCCTTATCTAGTGATAAGTTACTGTTTAGAGCACAGGCATTGTTTTCTCTACTTTCACCAACAACTTGAGAAGTTGGGGTTTAAATTCAGCAGCACAATACAATACACATTGTCAGAAAAGATATGCCATTTAGTGTCCTTGGAAAGTGCATGAAGGCGAAGGGCTTTTGTTGTGGATTTGAAACAAAGATTCAGTCCCCTCACTGAAAACACAGGGAAAAATAATTTAATTTCATCATGCATTAATGTAGCATTTCACTCTGCAAGTAGATGGTTTCAGGTCCTGACCACAGCGACATATACTGACCTTAAATAGCTCAGATGGTTTGAGCCTAAAAGCCAACAAAGGCAAAGTAGCTTCAGTAATCATAGCTGGGTCAAGCAATATGTGCAGTATGTGCTTATTTTAAGCTCCTTGCATTGCTAGACAGAGGGGGATACTGTGCCACATCAGCAGAATTCAGTTAGTTTCACACAAGTCGTCACTCACAAAAATGTATAGTACTGATTTTCTAATGCTTTTCTCTTATGATCACATACTGCGAGTTCCTCCCAGACTGCAGCTAAAAAAATGGCAGTAAAACTGCCAGTGTATTGCACATATTTTTCTAATTAATATTTCATTTCAGGCTACCTTTGGGGTTAATTTCCAGTGAATAGGTGTTATGGGTCATGCTGCCTTAAAGAGCTTACCTTGAAGCATTTCATTAGTGTGGGTGGAGGGTTTCATTAAACTCTGAGAGGGAACACTGAATACCTTTTAGTTTGGCATGATAATAGAAAAGTGGATACTGACACATTTAACTGCAAAATATTGGTACTGGTTTGGAAAGTCCACATTGGTCCCAAAGGTTATTTGTCAGTCTTTTTTAAAGCTCCTGAAAACTTGTTGTCTCAGCTTTTGTATTAACTTACTTGGTATTAAAGGGGCATTCCAAAAATTATACACATCAAGGGCAGTTTGTTTCATCTTACACTCATAGAAATAAAGGTGCTAACTAGAACCATATGAAGAACCCTTTTATATAGTCTAGAACTCAACCAGGGTGTCACAGTTAGTTTGCCTTTCCCATAGAACCGTTTGCACCCTTATTCTGGTATTGCTTTAATATGTGCAACCATTGGACTCATATCCAGCTGCCTTGGAATTTGAAGAGCTCATTACAGGGCTGGGCTGATGTGGTCAAGCGCAACTTACAACACTCATCATTTCAGATTTTTTAGAGTGGGGATATCATGAAACTAGTTCTACTACCGCCTTTACTATTTCAGTGGTGCAGTTGATATCAATTCTAACAGAATGTTCAGTTATATTAATAAGATAAAGATGAATCCTGCCAAAGATCCACAAAGCAGTCTTGAACTATAATTTCTGAATTCTAAAATGTGTTTATAACAATTGACCACATTGCCCATATATCGTCCTCTACCCCAACATTGATTTTAAATTAAAAGAGTAGTCAGGGCCCTCTGGCACTATGTCCACAAAGGTTGATCTGGTGCAGTGCAACCCAAAACAACCATGGTTCACAATCATAGTTTTGAGGGATCTAGGAGGATCTTTTAACACCCATTCTTTCAACAAGTCTTGAAGAACTCTTTCTTCCAGGAAAGTGTTGTTTGGATAGGGTTTTTAGTGGAAACGTTAGCCTTGCAACGAACCCTTTGAAAAAAGGGTTCTTTAAAAGCAAATTGTGAGTTGTTCAGGGAGAACCATTTTGGACTCCTTGTTTCCAAGAGTGGCTTGTGAAGACAGTTTAATCAGCCCTCCAATCTTTGAATCAAATGAACACAGGGCTGACATCTTTGCATGTGAGTCGTTTATGACGTAAGTCTTGATTGTCGCTAGTCAGCTGAGTCGCTAGTCACGTGAGCCATTTGTCACTCGGTTGTGACTGTGTTTTAGTCTTTGAACTTTAACCCTTTTACAGTGTGTTTTCAGTACATGACAGTTAATTGGAGTATTTTGGTTGCCTAAAAATGTCTTAATCAGTGTTTGTTGTACTTAGTTCCACCATCTTGTGTCACTTCTGTTTCCAAAAGAACAAGATGGCGACAGCCTAAATGACAAAGTCTAGGCTTCAAAACAGTAGTCCATAAACCAATGTGTGATGTCCTTTTCTGACATACAGTCTGCATGCTACCAATCTATGATATATGTAGGTTCCTGTGTTTTTGGTGCTGGACACATAGTAATATATTTCGCGAACTCTGTTGGACCAATTTTGAATTCTCTGTTTCCCAATTTTACGAAAGGGCATTACTAATTCACCGGAGTACCCTTTTAATTCTTTTACTGTATTGATAGAGTCCTACTTCGAATTTAGATTTCCGCTCTCGAACCCTCTCAGCAGAGCACCTGCTTTATTGGCCTGTTGTTCCTTATTAGTATATTAAATGTTATGTAATATTAAGTTATTTAGAAGCCTCAAAAAACCTGGTCCAATTCTAAACTCTATTATGCTTTTAATCATGGTTTTAAAGTCTAAATTGTACTTCCTTGTTATACAATTAAGATTTTTTTTTCATTGGGTTCAAGTCCCAGTTTTGCTCTGTTTATTTCTGTTTTCATGTTCAACAATTAAATTGAGTAGGAGTTCAGAAATTCTATGTTTGGACCATGACTAATCACGGAAGAGATATGTGGACCCTCAGGTGAGACCAGCTGGAAAAAGTGATGCTTGAATACAGTTACAACATGGTCTATAGTCAATTCATGTTCAGCAAATTGTGATAAGAGAGATTCCAGGGCGAGGTTGTGATTTGACGTGTGAGGGAAGCAGTGGCGGGCCATACCAATTAAGTCCAATTATTTTTTGTCAGGTGGAAGTGTGTTGATTAGAGGACCTGACTTAAGCCTCCTGAAGGGATTTCTGGCAAACAACAAAGCCAATGTGACACCTCGGCTGGAATGCTCTGTGATTAGAGGCTGTGAGAAAGCCGTCTTTCTTGTATTCATGAAGGTCCCTCCACAGGAAAGAGGCTTTAATTGCTTCTGGAAGTTCATTATAGTGTGATTGCTGTGCTGTGAAATTGCCGTACGCTTGATAATGGCAAAATTAAATTTGGAACCTGAGTTGTTTGCTCTTCTGTGTGCAGATGAAAAGTACAATAAGAAGTTTACATGGTGGTATTCGTCAGCTCACTTCAAATGCCACATCAATACCGGGCATCCAGCATGGAGGGAAGCTAATCAGTGGATTTGGCAGATAAGAGTGAGAAACTCTACCAAAAGCCTGCTTTGCCTCGAGGCTACAACATGCTGCTGTGTTAACAAATTGCCAAAAATGTCTGTTTCCAAAATTAAAACCAGACTATAAAAACACCTTCTTCCTCTTATAATGTTAAAGTTGAATACATAGGAAGTGAGACACCCAGTTGCTCAATTCAACTCAAGAGTTCTGCTGCGTTCACGTTCTCATTGTAATCGAAGCAATTTGGGGGGAGAAAACCATCTCGGAAGGGATCGGGGTTCCAAGGTGGAACAATCTTTTGGGGAGAAAAGATTGTTGTTGTATTAATGTTGAACACGACTTACTCTCAGCTGGTTATGAAACAGTCTCAATGAAATACTGATGCCTCTAAAGATTCGCCCTCCCTGCAGTTGGAGCTCCGGCGGGGGGTGGAGCGCTCAGCTCCTGGCAGCAGCAGCTCCTCTGGCCTGGAACGGAGGTTCACCTCGCTGCTCCTCCGGTCCCTGCTTGGAGCCAACACTGGCACCGAGCTGCTGGAGGCTCAGGCCCTGCTACTGGGCTCACTGGGGGGAAGGGAGGCATGGGAGAACTAGAACCAGGACTTCATTACATTAATAGAACCTTAATCTGAACTAAATTACACACTGCATTCAAATTAGCATGTAAACATGTCACACAGAACTGCAACAATTGTAGAGGTACTAGATTACTCAATACTGCAATGCTGCCTGCCCAACATAAACACAAGAATAGGAACTCTTGTGAACACATGCAAACTTTCCCGATAGTTAGCCAAAACCACCACTAGCTTATAGGGGCTAGCGAATATCAACACAGTTTAGCTAGATACTGTATAGCTATAACTGACATTACTCAGTCAATTTGCTGATTTTATAACTCGTCCTTACTTGTGCTACTTTTACAGTACATTTCAGCATGTAAAAAAAAAATATATATATACAGTATATTGCGTAAAATCAACAATGAGCTTATATATGCTAAAATGCAAAGTGCCACTCTGGTAAGCCCCTTCTCACAAGATGGTGGTATCAGTGGCCACAATCCATTCTTTGTGAATTTGCCCCATAGTTTTTTAATCCATTGACACTAAAAGTATTGATTCGAGCAGCGTTATCATTATTGAATGATATTTTAGCAGGCTTTGGTCACACAAACAAACAAGTACACTTAATCATATGATTATATTCAATAAGAAGAAGTCTACTAAGGCATTACTCTAAATTATTTACATGAGGACAGTTCTATTAATATTCCTGTTTTCATGCAACAGAAGATGATGTGATTAATGTCTGAGACGCCTCCTCCACGCGTCACAGTTTACCTCCAGTATTCAACCTCAAACCTGATCTCTCTGTCGCGACCCTGATACCACTGTCGCTATCTTTGTGCAAACACTGTAAATAAACCATGCTTTGAGTCATTCTTTTTCCAACATGGGGGGAAATACACACCATTCTGTAATTGGACTCGTTGCTCAAGGAGATCGCTTTTAGCCGCAAAGGTGTTGGCAAATAATGACAAATGCTCTCATGTGCAGTCACAGTAGACATTTTAACACGTCTTGGCAGGAAAAGCACATTAATAATCTAATTAACAACATTGATAAAGACTGCATTCCATTCAGGTTTAGCGGCTCAAGGCTCCAGCATTGTGCATGCTGGCTCCCCGTCATGGCTTACCGTAGTATTAATGGCACCGAGGCATCGTTAATGTTATTAGTTACACCTGTGCTCTTCCTGCTATGGCAGAATGCGTGCCATGGAAAAAGGCCTATTGTTGAAAGAAGGAGCTTTAATGTCATTAGTAATGGATTGCTGCTATGCGTGTACATGTAGACCTAGCTAATACAGAATGAGAAAAAAGCACTGAACCACAATAAAAGGGACAATCTTGGATGCTTTTGTCTGTTTTGAAAAGAAAAGCATGTTTGAATACGATATACATGTTTCAATTAAGTGATAGACCCATATAGGTCAGAACATGAATAGAATGGCCAATACTGGCGTTCAGAATAGTTTTTCAGAAAAATGAATAAAAACTACATGGATGGAAGCCAGCCTCGGGTGGGACTTTATTTTTCAAAAGACCACAGGCATTGCTATTGGTGAACCAATGCCATCACCAAAATGCTGTATAGCCACAGCAAAAACCTCAGGCTGGATTTCTGATTGACTGTTCCTTAAAAGCAGTGACAGGTGCTGAGGCGGAAACCCAACCAGCTGAGGGCAGGACTATTAGCTTTAAAACCTTGTAAAGTGAGGCTCATTACATTTCGTCGGTCGAAGTGAGTAATATAAAGGTGCATGATAATACTGAATTGCGTGAGTGCTTACCGTTCTTAAGCATCAGGGGTGTCAAACATGCGGCCCCAGAGCCAGAACCAGCCCGCCAAAGGGTCCAATCAGGCCCACTGGGTGAAAATTGTAGAGTAATCATTAATTCCAATTTTTCAATAAAATGCAGTCCTGTGTAAGGGATATTGTGAAGCCAGCAAAAGCAAAATGAGCCCCGACAGGGTGAGCAGGACTCACTCTGTGCCAAGGGAAGAAATCAATAATGTGTCACAAAAGTTCAAGTATTTCATTGATTTAAAAATGATGTTAATGCATCAGCACCATAATTTGTCGTACTCTGGTCAGAGCCGCTCGCTGCTATGCTATGATTGGCCAGTGTGCGTTCAAGAGGGGGGACTTAGCGAAGGTTCAATTGTGACTGTTTTCAGAATGTCATTGTACATCTTCACACTAACAGAAAATGCAATGGTTTTACTGGTCCGGCCCACTTGAGATAATATTGAGCAGCGTGTGGCCCATTACCTAAGATGAGTTTGACACCCCCTGGTTTTGAGCACCAATATATTTAGCTTTTTTTCTTTTATTGCATTGGAGTGGAATTGTTGCAAGGACTGTTACCATGACGAGCGTATGAACAATCATCTTCTGTATCCTACTGATAGGCTGATCTGAGGGAATGGATGAATATAAACTGGATAAAGCTTCTTATAGCTTGCCCAATACATTTTTTTTGACTGACATCCAGTGGCTTTACGTCTCACCTACGACTATTGCAGTATCCCGGTAACAATTTTGCTTTCACCCCATAATCGAGGATTTGGGGGTTACAATGGTGTAGATTGCTGTCTTCTGTCTGCTCTCTGAATTAAAGTTTAATTCACTGGAATCATCAAAACAATTGATTTTATTCTGCCTTATTTAACCAGGTTTGTCCCAAAGATCTCACACCTGTGGCTCAGTGGTAGAGTTGGGTCGTCCTTTGATCAAAGGATCGGCTGTGTGATCCCCGCCTCATGTCGATGTGTCCTTGGGCAAGACACTTAACCCCAAATTGCTCCGACAGGCTGTTACTGCGGTGTATGAATGGGTGAATGATGACATGTAGTGTAGACTATTCAAGTACAAACCATTTACCTGGTTTAGAATAAGTGCAGTGTTTCAATAATAAACTTAAAAGCACATTGATCTGAGTAACTTAAATAATATATCAGTCTGAATTTTAATATCAGTCTGCAGATTGTTCCATGAAAACAATCTAAAAGCTTTCTTTCCCAACTTGGGAACAACAAGAAGCAACAGAGAATGTGATTTCCATAATAATTCCATGTACATAAAGCAGGCCAATTTACTACTGAGTGTAAAGCACAATGGCCGGTAAGACATCCACAGTTTGAAATGAACCTTAGAGCCCCATGATACACACTATCCAGCATGTAATCAATAACTGGTAAAAGGCACACCTCCACCAATTTCTGACTTGTTTCTAAAGTACCATCCAAGTAAAAGCTTTTTTACAACATAGTGGATACGAGTCTTGCAAGAAAAGCGGTCTTCAATTGTAACATGCAGCCAAACGCTGACTAGTTAATGCAGATTCATGCAGAGCTTCATTGCCTCCTTCAGTCGGGCTCATCGCAGATCATTTTTGAAAGGGAAATTTGATGCATATTTCATATTCATTAACTCAAATTAGGCTCGGCTTGTTCATCAGCATCACCACGTCAGTAAGTGCCTGCCGCCATCGCCACTCTTCACCGACTGACTGACAGCCCCCCCCTCCTTTTCTTAACCCGTTTCATCATCCGTGCCACTCCTCTATCTCCCATTCCCTGTTTTAAGGGAGTTGGAAAATGACGAGCCCATTTTACCTCAACTTACTCCACCTCTGTGCGCCGACTTACCTCTCACTACAATCACCACACTTACCTGCCTGTGGCGCTGCCAGGCCAAGTGAAATCTCCCGCTGGCCCAAGTGGATTAGCAATTAGAGAGCGCCTCAGGATGTCCTCACCGTAGCCCCCGGCATAGGCCCGCCTTCTATCAGTAGTCAACACAAAACCACAGATAAGGGCGATCTTCACGGGGAGGCTTTGTCCTGGCTCAGTAACGGACAGCAACAGTGTGTGTTGGATTAGTACGGCTAATCAAAGAGGAAGATCAGTGAAGAATTGGATTGCTATTGATTAGGACATGGGCCCTCAATGCCACCAGGAGCACCTGATAGCATCTGTTCTTTACCAACTAGCCTGATGAATTACTACGCGCTGATACAACTGACAATGCCCTTGAGTTCCCCAGCAGCAGCAGACACTAAGCGGGGACCGTTTATAAATGTGCGCCGTGCATTTGAGGACAGGCGATCCTGCGAAGTCTGTGCTTGGATATTGATTGCATTTTTTTTATAGATTATTCTAGTCTCATATATAAAAAATTAAAATTGTCAGCAGCTGTTTGCAGATTACATTTTAGCAAGTTCATTTGAATGTCACTTTGAGGCCGGAATGTGATCAGAAATGAGAGGACATACTTATCTTGTAAAGTCAGCTTGTGCTTGTAAAACCCTCAGGGGCAAGTTTTCTCCTTTATCATGACACTTAAGGGTTAACGTCACCTTAGCTGAGAGACGTACTTTAGCCCATTACACGTAATGCCTTAAAAGGTTGGCTTAGTCAAGGAAAACGTTAAGGCACTTACTGCATTGAAAGATATTACAGCGGTAAAAATAAGTTACAGTTTCTATGGAGACTACTTGTTTGCTTGCACTGTGATACTTGTTATAGCCTCTTATCGTCTCAGAACGTTGGCCTATAGATGGAGAAGAAAATAAGACTCAAAAAAACAAATTAGTCAGTGGAGCAAAACAATTATACTTCCTGAGGAATACAATAAAAAATAAATAAAAAATATATAAATGCAAATAACAGAAAACACAGAATGGGGAAGGAAACGGCAACACAAATTAATTCAGCTTATGTGGACATGAAATTCCGTGCATATTACTGACTGTAAAGATCCCGTTGCATAAACCCCTAGAGCAGTCATTAATTGCGAAAGGTCTTGAGAAGCACGGCAGCGAAAGAGTGTTCCAACTTGAGAATCAATTGCTCATCATTAAGCGTATCCATTGGGTTCTTCTGCTCACAGAACACTCGGGATGCGTTTATTTTCTTCATTTTTAAACTCAGCCATGTTGATGTTAAGAGAAAGTCAGAGTTAAGATTATTTCCTTACTTCAATTGCAAAGATCTTTTGTCTATCTTTGA